ATATCTACCTTCCAAAAACAACTGTTTAATTGAAATAAAAATATTATTCATGGCAAATGAACATGGAAAGATGCTAAACTTCACTCATAATTAAAGAAATATCAATTAAAACAAAGACATACCATCTTAAAATTACCAAATTGGAGGAGACAACTTTTACAACACAGAGTATTGAAAATGGTATGGCCAGCCAGGCATGGTGGCTCACATCTGTAATCCCAGTACTTTGGGAGGCTGAGGCAGATGGATCACCTGCCTGGTCAACATGGCGAAAGCCTGTCTCTACTAAAAATACAAAAATTAGCCAGGCATGGTGGCACGCACCTGCCATCCCAGCTACTCAGGAGGCTGAGGCAGGACAATCACTTGAACCCGTGAGGAGGAGGTTGCAGTGAGCCGAGATCGTGCCACTGCACTCCAGCTTGGGCAACAGAGCAAAACTCTGTCCCAAAACAATAAAGAAAAGAAAGAAAATGGTATGGGTTGGGCCCAGTGGCTCATGTATGTAATCCAACTATTACTTGAGACCAGGAGCAGCCTGGGCAACGTGGTAAGACCTGATTTCTATTTTTTTTTTTTTTAAGTAATAATTGTTTAAAAGAGGAAGAAAATGGTATGAAGAAATGGGCATTTTTACACACCATTTATTGGCTGGAGGATAAACTGATAAAATCTCTTTGGAAAATACTTTGACAATATCAAAATTTTGAATTCACATATCCCTTGACCTAACTGCTCCATTTCCATGAATATAGCTCACATTCCTATTAACCTAGGGTTTCCTCAACCTCACACTCCTGATGTTCTGGGCCAGGTCCCTCACAGCGGTGGAGGCTGTGCTGGGCACTGCAGGGCGTTTGGCAGAATCCTCTACTCACGAGATAACGGAGGCACCCCACACCCAGCCCCACAAGAGTGACAACCACAGTGTCCTCTGGGATACCACACTGCCCATCTTGAGAACTCAAGCCTGGACAAAAATATTTGATCACCGTAGCTTTGTCTGAAAAAGCCTGCAAAACAACCTATATGCCTAACAACAGTGACTTGCTAATTACGATGTACAATGTAATACCATATACATCTGTTAAAAAGAAAGAGACAGCTCTCTGATGAACAGATGAGGAACTACAGTTAAGATACACAGTTAACTGATAAAAAGGCACAGAATACTGTGGATTGACTGATAGGGGTATGGAGGAGACTTGTGCAGGCACAAAATGTCCCTCAAAGGTTACAGAAGAAACTGCTAATGAAAGTTGTTTATGGGAAGCAAAACTGGAACGTAGGAACCCAAACGACACGTGGGCTTCTGTACCCTTCTCTACTGTTTTATTTCTTATGATGTGCACATAGGACTTATTCCAAAATATATTAATATACCATTATTTAATACATTTTTTTGCTTTTAAGAAATAAAACTGGCCAAGCACAGTGGCTCACACCTGTAATCCCAGCATTCTGGGGGCCTTGCGTGGGAGGATCACTTGAGGTCAGGAGTCCAAGACCGGCCTGAGCCAACATGGTGAAACCCCATCTCTACTAAAACTACAAAAATTAGCTGGACATGGTGGCACGCACCTGTAATCCCAGGTACTTGGGAGGCTGCGGTAGGAGAATCGCTTGAACCTGGGAGGTGGAGGCTGCAGTGAGGTGAGATCATGCCATTATACTACAACCTGGGGGACAGAGCATGAGTCCTCTCCCCCGAAAAATAAATAAAAATATGACTACAGCCATTTTTTAATAGCACTATCTATAAGTGAGACAGGCATTCTTGAACTTTGCAGAACTCTGCAAAAGAAGCTATTAAATTAGCATGGACTTTCTAGACTGTCATATGGCATTCTATAAAGAACTGGGGTGAAAAAAAGTCTTATTTATTAATTTAACTAATCTACCTGTAGGAATCTATCCTAAGAAAATAATTAAGGATGCATAAAAATATTCATATACAAAGATATAGTACTTATAATATTAAAAATATAAACAATATGTTAAGCGATGATGAAAATTATTAAATTTTATTATGCTAAATCCAGATGCTGAGGACTTTTATTTTGTAGTGACAGTCCCTGTTGTCCAGGCTAGTCTCAAACTACTGGGCTCAAGCACCGCGGCCTCCCCAAGTGCTGGGATTACGAGCACGAGCCACCACACCTGCCCAAGATACTGCAGATTTTAATAGCTTAAAATAGTAATAGTTGACAATGAGTGATAACTTTGACAGTGAGTGAAAAGAGGGAGGATTTACTTACAATATGTTATGGAAGAAGGCAGGTTACAAAAGTAGTCTGTACAGTGGCATAATTCTGTTTTTCTATTTTAAAAACTATTTTAAACATAAACTATTAAGAAAAGCATGTAGAGAAAAAAAGGTGGAAATACCACCAGTGCATTCTCTCCACATAGTATGTTTTCTTTCTTATAATTCAACTAGTTGGTTTTGAATTGATGAGTAAGACTGTACATATGTATGGTGCACAACATGGTGTTCTGCTACAAGGATACACTGAGGGATGGCTGAGTCAACCTATGTTACATGCATTATCTCATATATGTGTTTCTGATGGAGAGAACATTTACAATTTACTCTCACCGAAATTCTCTTTTTTTTTTTTTAAGAGAGAGTCTTCCTGTGTTGCCCAGGCTGGAGTGCAGTAGTATGATCTCAGCTCACTGCAACCTCCACCTCCTGGGTTCAAGTGATACTTCCGCCTCAGCCTCCTGAGTAGCTGGGATTATATGTGCATGCCACCACACCCAGATAATTTTTATATTTTTAGTAGAGATAGGGTTTTGCCATGTAGGGCAGGCTGGTCTTGAACTCCTAACCTCAAGTGATCCACCCGCCTCAACTTCCGAAAGTGCTGGGATTACAGATGTGAGCCACCATGCCCTGCCAGCAATTTTCAAACATACAACATATTCTTATTAACACAGTCCCCATGATGTACAACAGCTCTCTTGAATTTTCCCCTCCCACCTAACTGAAATATTGTGGCCTTTGGCCAACATCTCCCCAATACCCCAATCTCCCAGCCTCTGGTAATCACCACTTTGCTGTTTCTATGTATTCAACTTCATTAAACTCCACTATGGGTGCTTTTAATGTTTTCTAATTTTTTCCAAAATAAATATGCATTACTTGCATTGTAAGATTTTCAGAGATAAAAATAAATGACTTTAAAATAAAAATTAAAGACACTGATACAAAGAGGTTCCAAACTCATGTAGAAAGTGTGAAGCCAGGCCAGGCGTGGTGGCTCACGCCTGCGATCCCAGCACTTTGGGAGGCCACCGCAGGTAGATCACCTGAGGTGAGGAGCTCAAGACCAGCCTGGCTAACATGGCAAAACTCCATCTCTACTAAAAATACAAAAATTAGCCAGGCATGGTGGCAGGCACCTGTAATTCCAGCTACTCAGAAGGCTGAGGTAGGAGAATCACTTGAACCCAGGAAGCAGAGATTACATTGAGCTGAGATTCAAGCCACTGCACTCTAGCCTGGGCAACAAAAGCAAAACTCCATCTCAAAAAAAAAAAACAGAAAATGTGAAGTCAGCTTTCAGAATGTAAATTTTATACAGGTACACCCTGACTTAACAATGGGATTATGTCCTGATAAACCCATGGTGAACTGAAAATATCACAAGCCAAAAGGGTGTGGCTGACAGGGAGCTGTGGCTCGCTGCCTCTGCCTAGCATGACAAGAGATGTAAGGTTTTTGAGAAATTTGCTTGCTTTCACACCACCATAAAGTCAAAAACCAAAGTCTAAACCATCTCTAAATCAGGGATCATCTGCATATGTAATTTATTTTATTTATTTATTTTTTTTTTTTTTTGAGATGGAGTTTCACTCTTGTTACCCAGGCTGGAGTGTAATGACACGATCTCGGCTCACCGCAACCTCCGCCTCCTGGGTTCAGGCAATTCTCCTGCCTCAGCCTCCCGAGTAGCTGGGATTACAGGCACGCGCCACCATGCCCAGCTAATTTTTTGTATTTTGAGTAGAGACGGGGTTTCACCATGTTGACCAGGATGGTCTCGATCTCTTGACCTCGTGATCCACCCGCCTCGGCCTCCCAAAGTGCTGGGATTACAGGCTTGAGCCACTGCCTTGCATATGTAATTTAAATACTGTGTTTGTTTTTCTGTCCCAGGAAGAAAATATGCCAAATAGTTATCAGTAATTATGTCAGAATTAGAAGTGACTTTCTCCTTTAACTCTTTGTATATTCCTAATTTTCTACAGTAATAATGGGAAGGGGGAGTTTGGAAAAGGTTTTTTTTTTTTTTTTTGGTAGAGATAGAGTCTCACCATGTTGCCCAGGTTGGTTTCAAATTCCTGGCCTCAAGCAAGTTTCCTATCTCAGCTTCCAAAATGCTGGGATAACAGGCATGAGCCTCCATGCTCAGCCTAGGAGGAGCATATTTTTGAAGTAACAGCCATTGGCTTTAGATTGAGCCCCCGCCCCAGCACTGGGGCCTGTCATCCTTAAAGATGCCCTAGACATTGCACCTGTGGACCTCCCAGAAGTGGTCACTTTGGTGTGTAAGCTGCTTTGGGCCATCAAGAAATTATTCTCTTCCCTCAGATTCTCACAGGTCAGAGAACCCAGGAGCAAGCAAGGAGATTCTACCATGCACAGAAGAAGAAAAGTTACCTTTGGCCACAGCAGAATCCTATAAAAGTTAGTTTTTGTTTAAGAGAGGGGGTAAGGGGACAGGAGGAGCCTCTGCCAGCCAATGTGGATATATTTTGATTCTTCACATATACTACACACTAAAATGTCTCTACCCCGAGGCATTGACAGGGCCAGAAAATAAAATGTTTTATCAGTCAACTGGAGTCAAGGCAAATCCAATGACAATTCACTCCTTGAAATCTACACGAAAGGCTTTTAAAACTAGTTTATAGCTAAAATCCTCCTGACTCATGATCAGATGTATTTTAACAATCACTTAACAAAGTATATGCAAAATGATGATGATTACCTCTTCCTTTTCATGTAGCATAATATGCGCTTTGAGACTAGCCACTCTGGAGAATTTCTTGTTACACACAGGGCAGGTGGGATCTTCCCCGCTGTGAGTGCATTTATGAAGTGTCAGGTTGAATTCAACATTAAATGTTTGGGGGCACTGGTCACATCGATGTGGCTATTTGGAGAGAAAAGTGAAGAAGCCACTGAAACACAGTCTTTTCACAGATGCTTGATCAATAAATGTTATGAAAATATTAACCACTACCCAAATGTACAGACAATCTACAGAAACTTCTGAAGTCTCCTCTGGCCCTTAAGTCAATGAATCCCAAGTAGACACAGTAAAGCACCTGATAGAATTGCTCAAAGGATTAGACAGATGAAAACACATACATACACATAGGAAATATGTCCAATAAGAAATGCTGAAGATAAGCTGTTTTCTTTCAGGGAGTGTAAGTGTTTGACAGTGAAACACCTTTCAAAGCTAACCTTTAAAACATGGTATTAAAACATTTTTTCTGGGCTTGTGCAACAAAAAATTAAAAAACAAAACAAAAAAACATGTTTTTGTGCCCGGGCACCATGACTTACGTGTGTGATCCCAGCACTCTGGGAGGCCGAGGTGGGCAGATCACTTGAGCTCAAGAGTTTGAGACCAGCCTGGCCAATCTGGTAAAACCCCATCTCTACTAAAAATACAAAAATTAGCCAGGTTGGTGGCAGGTGCCAATAGTCCCAGCTACTTGGGAGGCTGAGGCAAGAGAATTGCTTGAACTCGGGGGGCCAAGGTTGCAATGAGCTGAGATCGCACCACTGCACTCCAGCCTGGGCAAAAGAGCAAGACTTTGTCTCAAAAAAAAAAAAAAAAAAAGTTTCTTTCTCCATGTGTTTGCATTACATGGGTTTGTGCTGAATGTTTCAGTACACGTGCCTACATTTGCTGTTTGTAAATGTGTATGGATACTGGTATAAAATGAACACACAGAGAAAGAATCATATATTCTCAATATTTGCTTCCAAACATTTTCCTGTCAAACTCCTCTATTCACTGAAATAATACAGTTTATGATGAATCTTAAAAAAAAAAAAAAAAAAAAGGCTACATATAAATTTATTGGATTGTAGTCTCTGTGAAAAACTTCAACTCCTTAAGTTGGATTTTTCCCTTCTATTTTTGGCCAACTCCACTATTATAAGCAAAATCACTTCAAGTAGACTGGGAACAATGGCTCACACCTGTAATTTCAGCAGTTTTGGGAGGCCAAGGCAGGCGGATCACCCTAAGCTCAAGAGTTTGAGGCCAGCTTGGCCAACATGGCGAAACCCCGTCTCTACTAAAAATACAAAAATGAGCTGGACGTGGTGGCACACACCTGTAATCCCAGCTACTCAGGAGGATGAGGCAGGAGAATCGCTTGAACCCAAGAGGAGGAAGTTGCAGTGAGCTGAGATCTCGCCACTGTACTCCAGCCTGGGGCAACAAAGCAAAACTCCAACTCAAAAAAAAAAAACCACTTCAAGTAAAATAATCATACAAAATTTCACTAGATTTTAATAAAGTTGCTTATCTAGGTCTAAGATTTTTCTCAAAATGTATTCTGCTATTCACTTGCAAAAAGATAATCACTGATATCTCTCTCTGAAATAACTGAACCCTAATGAGGAATAATTCAGTATCTTCAGATTGTCAAACCTGAGACAATAATACTGGTATATACTAGTATATTACATTTATATTATATTATTGCAGCTACAACAGCATTTTGTGCTGAAAATCAGGCCTAAGATGGTCACATTCTGTTCTCTAAAGGAAGTCCCTGATATTTTTCTGGTCTCAAATGGCTCACTAGCTTACATGCTCCTACCGAGACAAAAGTCAACAATCACTTTTTTAATTATAGTTTTAACTGCCACTTTCCATCTATCAGGCAAGTTTTTCCATTAAGACGCTAAATTTCTTGACATATCCCACAAGAGGTCACACGAAAGAGTTCCAATTTCTATTTAAGATTGTATTTAATATTTGCTCTCTCCTGAAATACAACCTAAAACATCTAGAATACCATTTTTAAATGCAAGATCACTTAAAAGCTCCGCAGGAGAAAAATACTTCAAAACACACCACTTCTGTGTTCAGTCATAAAGGAAATTGAAACTACGTTTAAAAAGTAATATTTTTAAAATAATTATTTGTCCACTAATAAATAACTTTAATATATAGATTCACCAGGACAAGCTCTCACTCTCTCTCCTTATCAAATGATAGCTAGGAATACAACTACAACTTTTAAAAAGGCCAAAATACTTATTTGTATAATATAAAATGTTCTCCTACTTAGGAACCCAAACTATAAGAAAGTTTTGATTATACATGTTGATTTTTACAATACCTCCAGTTTCAACGCTCACACTCCTGACATCACCTTTGAGAATACATACCTTGTCATTTCGCTCGTGATCCTTCATGTGGCGTTGAAACTGGGATTCTTTTGGAAAAGATAGCAGACAGATTTCACATTTATGGAAGTTTGGAACTTGATAGGCATAATTAGTGTTCTCCGCATTCAATGTTAAAACTCCATCTATAAAATTGCATAAGTATAGACAATAAATACCAATTGTTATTCTCATTACATAAATAAAACCAAATTATTGGCTACTGTTTAAAAATCAAATTATGTCAGAGATTTATGAGAGATTCTAGATGAAATTAAAGATATACTGATTTTTTTAGCTGACATGTTTTAAAGTTAGAAATGAGAAACGTCGGCATGACTAAGATACGGGACAATAGAATTTTAAATACTTATCGATGGGCTTTTCAGAATCTTAAACTCCTGAGGCTTCACAGCCACACACACCAAAACACGCAAAAGCCGTAATGATGCTTCTTAAACCAGGTGAACCTACTTCATAGTGTTTCAAATCACTACAAACCACAGATGCATTTCACCTCCAAATCACTTTAAGAGTTCATCAATAATCCACATTGTTTCTTAAATCACTCAGTAAACAACTCAGGTAGAAATATTAAAGCCGTTAAATGCTAATTCACAGACTCAAGGTCTCTCAAAACTGCTGCAAAGCAAGAATAAGTCAAAAAGAAAAACTGCCAGGTGCAGTGGCTCATGCCTTTTATCCCAGCACTCTAGGAAGCGAAAGCAGGAGAATTGCTTGAGGTGTGGAGTTCAAGACCAGCCTGAGCAACACAGTGAGAACCCGTCTCTACTAAAAAATTAGCCAGGCATGGCAGCACGTACCTGTAGTCCTAGCTACTGGGGAGGCTGAGGTGGAAGGATCTCTTGGACCCAAGAGTTTCAGGTTCTAGTGACCTCTGATCATACCACTGCACCCCCACCTGGACCACAGAGCAAGACCCTATCTCTTAAAAATAAAAAACTTTGCTCTCTCATATAGACATGGCTTATGAGGTTCAGGAAGACAAGGGATTGCAATGCCTCAGACAATCCTCAATTTTCACAAAGAGTTTCCATAAACTGACCCAGGTAAAGTGCTTTTAACTTAAAAGTGTCTTCAAATAAGACTATAAATGACAAATAATATATCACGGAATAATCACAAAACTTGTCAAAAATACCATAAAGATGTCCTAAATCTCTATAATTTTTTAAAGTAAATATACTTCAAGTGTTATAATTTGTACATAAATACATAATATACCTTGCTATGTGAAGGCTAGAAATATGTAGCAAACAGCTATTTATATCAAATTTGATCCAAAAATATTAGACTTCAGAAATTTGGGAGTAAAGGATAAGCTGAAGACCCAAGTCACTCAAGAAAGCCCCTCGGTCTCAAGAGTCTGTGTGGTAAACACCAGCAACTGAAATGTTCTATAGACCCTGACATCTTTGTTTTGAGAAGACAGTCTGCAGTTTCCATTTCTTTTTTTTTTTTGAGACGGAGTTTCGCTCTTGTCACCCAGGCTGGAGTGCAATGGCGCGATCTCGGCTCACCACAATCTCCGCCTCCTGGGTTCAGGCAATTCTCCTGCCTCAGCCTCCCGAGTAGCTGGGACTACAGGCACGCTCCACCATGCCCAGCTAATTTTTTGTATCTTTAGTAGAGACGGGGTTTCACCATGTTGACCAGGATGGTCTCGATCTCTTGATCTCGTGATCCACCCGCCTCGGCCTCCCAAAGTGCTGGGATTACAGGCTTGAGCCACCGCGCCCGGCCCTGCAGTTTCCATTTCTAAGAGTCTCCTGGCCCAAGATTGAATCTGCCCCTTAGCAAGGACCAGGAGATTCCAAAAGACAGGAGGCAGGTGAAGCCCACGTGGGAGGGGGCAGAGACAGGGTGGAAGAAGTCAGCAACAACTGCAAACATTTTTCTAGCAGAACCTTGAGAAAAGGTGAATTCCAGCTTCAAGAAATGTAAGGTAATTGAAAAGAATGCAACTTCATACATAAAAAGTGAGTCTACTAAGTAAAATATACGCATCTTTTTTTTTTTTTTTTTTTTTTGGAAACGGAGTCTCTTGTTGCCCAGGCTGGAATGCAGTGACATGATCTCAGCTCACTGCAATCTCCACCTCCCAGGTTAAAGCGATTCTCCTGCCTCAACCTCCCAAGTAGCTGGAATTATAGGCATGCGCCACCACACCCTGCTAATTTTTTGTATTTTTAGTAGAGATGAGGTTTCTCCATGTTGGTCAGGCTGGTCTCAAACTCCCAACCTCAGATAATCTGCCCATCTTGGCCTCCTAAAATGCTGGGATGACAGGTATGAGCCACCCCGCCCAGCCTGCATGATTTTTATTCTATTTATTCTTAACTATATTCACATTCTGTTCAAAGACCATACTTTCAAATTTTCTGCACTCAAACTAACAGCAAATGTCTTATGACTTCCCAGGCCCAAAGAAAAGAGTATGATTGTTGGGACCACAGCAATTGATACACAGTTCCCTTGGGAAACTGTAGTGTAAGAAACAGTTTCGAAGTTAGGAAGGAACAAATAAAATATCTGTTGAAAATTGGGTTTTAAAAACACAGTTATAAGTGTTTTAACCTAAAGGCTGAATACATTAACAAAAGAGCTCCTCAACTTAATTTCTGAAATGCAAAATTGAAAAGCTATCTGAGGATGATAAAATCATTTTCACAGTCTCTATGTTGAAACCACTTAATATGTTGTCCCAAAATGAGAAGAAATTCACTGAAATTGATAGATAAAACCCTAGGAGGCATGAAGTATACATTTAAAATTGAAAAATGTTGGGAGGCCGAGGCGAGTGGATCACAAGGTGAAGAGATCGAGACCATCCTGGTCAACATGGTGAAACCCCATCTCTACTAAAAAAAAAAAATACAAAAAAAATTAGCTGGGCATGGTGGCGCGTGCCTGTAATCCCAGCTACTCAGGAAGCTGAGGCAGGAGAATTGCCTGAACCCAGGAGGCGGAGGTTGCGGTGAGCCGAGATCACGCCATTGTACTCCAGCCTGGGTAACAAGAGCGAAATTCCATCTCAAAAAAAAAAAAAATTGGAAAATGATGTTAAGGCCAGGGACAGTGACTAATGCCTGTAATCCCAACACTATGGGAGGCCAAAATAGGTGGATCACCAGAGGTCAGGAGTTTAAGACCAGCCTGGCCAACATGGTGATACCCTCTCCTCTCCACTACAAATACAAAAATTAGCTGGGCTTGACAGAGTGTGCCTGTAATCCCAGTTACTAGGGAGGCTGAGACAGGAGAATTACTTGAACCCAGAAGGCAGAAGTTGCGGTGAGCTGAGATCGCATGACTGTACTTCAGCCTGGGCAACATTGGGAGACTGTGTCTCAAAAGAAAAAAAGAAGAAAAAATGTAGATTTACTTATGAATTAAGACTTTTCCAGAAAAACAGTTATCTTAAGAAGTAAGACTTTCCTCCTTAACGAACTCAAAAAGTAATAATTTTTTCAGTAAGTCTTTTCTTCCAAACAGTGATATAATAAATATTAATTTGGTTCAGACACAAACTTAAAACAATAATTCAAATTAAAGTGACTGGAAAAGTTTTTTAAAGCAACAAAACGGTTTAGTTTCCACAGTGGGCATAATTTTGAAACCCAAAGACGGTCTAGGCTCTCACTCTGCCTGGGGGCACACCTTTGCACAGGTCCCCTGTGGTTCCCTTCGCTCTGTGGAAACACCTTCCACCCTGATGCCTTCCTGCCAGGACAAGGTGGCCTCCACCGCCCCCATTCTGCCTCCACTTCCTTTCCTTCTGCTCAGAGTCAGCTCTTTCTGGGCAGTGTCCCAGGCCTCAAATAACACCTTTGGTCCATCATGCCTTCAAGTTTATTCAAATTTCTGGTCCCCAGAGTATCTGTTGTTCAGAAAGAGGTCTATTAAATTAATGCAACCTGGCTGGGCATGGTGGCTCATGCCTGTAATGCCTGCACTTTGGAAGGTGAAGCCAGGATAACTGCTTGAGGCCAGGAGTTTGAGACCCGTCTGGACAACATAGCCAGACGCTGTCCCTGTTTTTAAAAAGAGACAGAATCTCTAATCCACGCATCCTTAGATAAGGGCTGTTGACTGAGAGGGGCCCTGAACTGCACACTCACACATGTATGTATGCACACCTCTCCGCACACCTCCATTGTTCAGGGGTCTCCGCAGCCCCAGGGACCATCAAATCCATTAGGGGACCAGTGAGCAAAGAAAGATGCGATCAAATCAATGACCCTCTTCATAGAATGGCCTTCTGGGGGACAGCTGCATTTTGTTAAAGGCAGCTAAAAGGACTTGAGGTTTTTAGCAGCAGATATTCCTAATGCCTCCCAAGTCAGAATAGGTATTCTCTGCATTCCTACACAAACACACACACCAAAATGCACACAAAGCTGCCTGCGTTTAACTGTTACCAAATCTAACAATTCACCTACAACAGTACTTTTCAGCTATGTATTTCTTCCCCTTAAGAAAACAGAGTGTAGGTCACTGTAAGAGTTCACTGTATACAGGGGATGCATATGTAGAATTCCAAGGCAGTTTACCCAGACAGCCACCTCACATAAAAATATGACCACTGTTTGCTTTAATTATTCACCCTTTCTGCTACCAAGAACTCTAAACTATGAAAATTAAACAAAAACCGATTGGACAATGATAAGAAAATGAGCAGCTCTGTTTGCCTTACATAGAGACTAGTTTCAAAATCAGTTTAAGTCTTTACATAACGATTCTAAATAGAACATAATAGTTGTCTACCACCCCCAAAATAATAAAGCTTATCTCAGAGTTGCGTGGAATAAATGAGACAATGCTTCCTGCAGCTACTGGGACAAGGAACTGCCAATAACTTAGGGCTATGGCCATCTCTTTACTCAATGCCCGACTCATCACTCCACAATCCCACTACTACATGACTATATTCAGGACTGGTTTGTCACGACTTGGGACTAGATAAGCTATCTTAAAAATTGGATCTTCTACCCCCATCAGGCCCACCAATCAGGCTAATCAGCTAAATCTTAATAGCAAAGGTCTTTTATTCCCCGCCTAGAGACCCTACATTGATTTATACAAAATGTCTATTTGAGGCCAAATTCCAACAAAACTTACTGCATTCACAGCATTCCATGGATTTCATTCAAATTGGCCTCTTATGAAAAACTCTTAAGCAGTGTGCATTTAAAATCTCAGTTATCCATAAGTCTTGATGTATTTCATATTAAAATGAGAGATAAAACAGTTTCAGTTTCTGCGTGCTTTCTAAAATAACTGAGCTAGCCCTTGAGCTTTTTATGTTTTTGTTTTTACATTTTGAATAAAAGTCTTTCTAAAATACGGTTGATCTTCCTCACTCTGCTCTCAGTGTACACCACCCTCAGGTCCCTACTTCCTCACCCGCTATTCCTCCAAGACGACAGCCCTCTGGCCAGGCACCTGCGCTGCTCCCACCCTCTCATCCTGACACCACACGCTGTGTCATCACAAGTACACTTGGGATGCCTGACAGGCATCATGCCACTCCAAACTGCTACCACTTTAGGTCATCTTTACTATCCTTTCTTTTTGTTCTTTTTGAGACGGAGTCTTACTCTGTCGCCCAGGCTGGAGGTCAGTGTGCCATCTCCACTCACTGCAACCTCCGCCTCCCAGGTTCAGGTAATTCTCCTGCCTCAGCCTCTGGAGTAGCTGGAATTACAGGCATGCGCCACCAGGCCTGGCTAATTTTTGCATTTTTAGTAGAGACCGGGTTTCACCACATTGGTTAGGCTGGTCTGGAACTCCTGATGCTGCCTCAGCCTCCCAAAATGCTGGGATTACAGGCTTCAGCCACTGTGCCCAGCCTCTTCTTGTATTTAAAACTCCCTTCTACCTTCTTCCCTGTTTTCCACCGCTCCTCCCACATTTGTCAGCATTCAGGTTTTAACACAGCTGGTCTTTATCAGGTAAAACTCTGAAGTGTTTGGATCCTGGAACACTTTCTGCTTCAAAACCTGGCACATAATGTGTACCTAACAAACACATGTTAAATATTTGGAGATAGACAGGCGCTAGTGGCTTTTTTTTTTTTTTTTAACCTTCTTCCCCATTGTCTGAAGCTCCCAAAACCAATTTATCTAATTCCCACCTTCAGCCTCACTGGCTCATGTCCTCCCCCTCAAAACTGCCTATACTAGATTCAGTCTTTTCCCAGCTTAAGTACCCTTTAACTATTCTTATTTTATACACACATACCTGGCCCACGTGGTTGTTCCCAAGAGCTGGCTGAAATAAGTCTGCATAATTTTCTTTGTAGAGTCTCTCAGAAAGCCAAATGCTCAGACTGGCTACCACCACCAGCCACGGGCACCTGCTTTCTTCCAGAAAGGAGCACTCGCCTGTTACTCAAAAGCACCTGCACTGGGAAGTAGAGAGAACCGGAGAAGACTCCTGCCCTTTCTGAATCGTACAGTGAACCAGAGAAGACGCCAGTCCTTTCTGAATCTTACTGATTATCTGTTCAAATGGATTTACTCATAAGGGGGTACTCAAATGGAAATGAAATGTAACTCATATGGAAAATTCATCCCTAACCTGTATTCAACAGGAAAAGGAGTATGTTCTGAATGGTATCACTTCTAAAAAAAAAAAAAAAGTCTCAGGGAGCAGAGATATACCATGCATTTACTTATATATTCAAAAAAAATACCTGTAAAACCACAGGAAAAAAGTAGCATTGGTTGCCTGTGAAAAAGGCAACTATCTGACTGGAAATGGGGGCTGGTGAGGGAGACATACATAATTATCACAGGTGAATGCTGAATCCTGATAATGTATTACCAAAAATAATTAAACATAAATAAAATAACTTTATGGGAGGTGGGGGGGAGGTGAGTCATATTGTCCACGCCCTTGTTGTACAGCTAAGAAAACTCACACCCAGAGAAATGAAGCCACTTAGTCAAATTTACATAATTAACCAGTGGCATAACTAGTACTAATTTTCAATTAATAATCCAGGACACTCTCCTAATTACTTATGCTTAAGATAATGGCTTCTGAGATAAGACCCCAGTTGCTGGGCCATGCGCAGTGGCTCATGTCTGTAATCCCAACACTTTGGGAGGCCAAGGGGGGGGCAGATCACCTGAGGTCAGGGGTTCAAGACCATCTTGGCCAACATACCAAAACCCCGTCTCTACTAAAAATACAAAAATTAGCCAGGCATGGTGGCCCAAGCCTGTAATCCTAGGTACTCTGGAAGCTGAGGCAGGAGAATTGCTTGAACCTGGGAGGCAGGGGTTGCAGTAAGCTGAGATTCGCACCATTGCACTCCAGCCTGGGAGACAAGAGGAAAACTCCATCTCAAACAAACAAACAAACAAACAAAATACAAGGACCTCAGTTGCTACTTTAAGCCTAGTGTAAAAACAACAGACAAACTTGGATTTTGTCAGCAATAACATAAATTAATATGTAAGCCTAAGACTGTTTATTCAATTAAGAGCCAAGCCAAAGCAGGACCCTAGTTATCAAAGGCATGAGTTGTTTCAGTGAAACAATTAAATTCCAAAACTTTGGTATTTGCCATAAAAATGATATAAAGTACAAGTGTGACATGATAAATATCTGTTATGAAACTCAGTAAATGGTCCCTAATAGTGTCAGTTTGCTCATATTCTTACAGCAAACTGTTTTCCAAGACAGGTTCACCTGGCCAGGTGCAGTGACTCATGCCTGTAATCCCAGCACTTTGGGAGGCCAAGACAGGTGGATCACCTGAGGTCAGCAGTTCAAGACCAGTCTGACCAACATGGTAAAACTCTGACTCCATTAAAAATACTAAAATTAGCTGGGCGTGGTGGTGCGAATCTATAATCCCAGCTACTCAGGAGGCTTAGGCAGTAGAACTGCTTAAACCTGGGAGATGGAGGTTGCAGTGAGCTGAGATGCGCTACTGCACTCCAGCCTGTGCGACAGAGCAAGACTCCATCTCAAAAAAAAAACAAAACAGGTTATAAAGACCATGCTGATAAAACAGGATGCAGTAAAAAGAATCACTTGAACCCTGGAGGCAGAAGTTGCAGTGAGCTGAGATCTAAGCACTGCACTCCAGCCTCAGTGACAGAGTGAGACTCTCTCTCTCAAAAAAACAAAAGTTCACCTTTACCCAGGCATTTCAATGCTCATTTTGTCAGCATCTGTATGTATTCATGTAAACTCTTTCTTTTCATGCTTAATGTTATTAAGTCTCCCTCATTTTTTAAAGGAACATCAACTCCCTTTGAAATTCTATCTGTAAATTTTTCTTTCTAAAGAAAGACTGTAGGGGAGGGATCCAAGAAGGCTGATTAGGAGCACCTCAGGATTGCAGCTCCCAGCAAAAGCACAGAGGGTGAGTGGACGCCGCATTTCCAGATGGATTTTTATTGCCCACAGACCAGGAGATTCCCAGGCAGAGGAGCCCCAAGGGTCACCAGCACCGTTGGTTTGGCCAGCCCAGCTGATTTAGCTGGCAAGGCTGTTTTCACCCATGCGGCTGATTTGCTGGCGCCCCTGCAAAGCAGTTCTCCATACAAAACACCCAGGTCCGGGTGCCATTTTACCTGGCGATTGGAGCTCCTGGCAGACAGAGTCACCCATTCAACTGATTAAAAAGGGAACTGAAATGGAGCCAGGCCAGGAGATTCCTGGGCAAAAAAGCATCATGAATCTCAGCATGGCTATTTCATCTGGCACAGTGGGTTGCCACATGGGAAATGACACAGATTCCGGTGCCTTTTCAACAGATGACTGGAACACCTGGTAGACAGAGTCAACCATGCAACTGAAAAAAAAAAAAAGGCTCTGAGGCAGGGAGCCAGGTGATCAGGCTCAGCTGGTCCCACCCCCCAAAAAAAAACAGCAATCGGGAACGCTCTGGATTGAGAGTTTCACAGCAAGCACAGCTGAACCCAGGATGGTCCAGCTCTGTGGGGGAGGGGTGTCTGCCAATACCAAGGCAGTCCGCCACGACAGAGGTAGTTTGCCATTGCTGAGGCAGCCCGCCATTGCCGAGGCAGCCCGTCATTACAGAGAGAGTCCACCATTATAGAGGTGGGCCGCCATTGCCGAGGCAGTTCTAACTACACCCGTATAAACAGGACTGCAGGGAAATTCACACGGCAGCTGGGAGGAGCCCACAGCAGCTCAGCAAAGCCTCTGCAGGCAGACAGTGACTAGGCTGCCTCTTTGCTGGGCAGGGCAGCCCTGAAAAAAGGCAGCAGCACAACAGAAACTCATAAATAAAGCCCTAACTCCCCGGGACAGAGCACCTGGGGAAAAAAAATTTAAAAAGGGGTTTATGAGTTCTGCTGCAGCAGACTTAAACATACCTGCCCAGCAGCTCTGAAAGAACAACTGAGCTCACAGCTCAGCACTTGAGCTCCTATAAAAGGCAGACTGTCTCCTCAAGCAGCCCCCTGACCCCTGTATATACAAAGAGTCACCTCATAAAGGAGAGCTCAGACTGACCTCTGGCGGGTATCCTTCTGGGACAAAGAGAGCAGCAGAAGAAACTGGAAGCAACCCTTACTCTTCTGCAGCCGCTGCAGGTGATCCCCAGGCAAGCAGGGCCTGGAGTGGACCTCAGCAGTCCTACAGCAGAGGGGCCAGACTGTTAGAGGAAAAATAAAAAATAGAAAGAAATAACTTAATCATCAACAAACTGGACGTCCACTCAGAGACCCAATCTGAAAGTCAGCAACTACAAAGACGACAGGTGGATAAATCCACAAAGATGGGAAGAAACCAGCACAAAAAGGATGAAAATATGTGAAACCAGAATGCCTCTCCTCCAAGGGATCACAACTCCTCACCAGCAAGGGAACAAGGCTAGATGGAGAATGAGTGTGATGAATTGACAGAATCAGGCTTCAGAAGGTGGGTAATAAGAAACTTTGTGAGCTAAAAGCACATGTTCTAACCCAATGCAAAGAAACTAAGAACCTTGAAAAAAGATTTGATAAAATGCTAACGAGAATAAACAACTTAGAGAGGAATATAAGTGAATTGATGGAACTGAAAAACACAGCACGAGAACTTCGCAAAGCATACACAAGTTTCAACAGCCGAATTGACCAAGCAGAAGAAAGGATATCAGAAGTTGAAGATCAACTCAGTGAAATAGAATGAGAAGGCAAGATTAGAGAAAAAAAGGGTAAAAAAGAATGAACAAAGTCTCCAAGAAATATGGGATTATGTGAAAAGACCTAATCTACGTTTGATAGGTGTACCTGACCAGGACAGAGTGAATGAATCCAAGCTGGAAAATATTCCTCAGGATATTATCCAGGAAAATTTCCCCAAACTAGCAAGGCAGGCCAATATTCAAGTCCAGGAAATACAGAGAACACCACAAAGATATTCTGCAAGAAGAGCAACCTGAAGGCACACAATCATCAGATTCACCAGGGTTGAAATGAAGGAGAAAATGCTAAGGGCAGCCAGAAAGAAAGGCTGGGTTACCCACAAAGGGAAGCCCATCAGACTCACAGCAGATCTCTCAGCAAAAACCCTACAAGCCAGAAGAGAGTGGGGGCCAATATTCAACATCCTTAAAGAAAAGAACTTTCAACCCAGAATTTCATATCCAGCCAAACTAAGTTTCATAAGTGAAGGAAAAATAAAATCCTTTGTGAACAAGCAAGTACTCAGAGATTTCATCACCACCAGGTCTGCTTTACAAGAGATCCGGAAAGAGGCACTAAACATAGAAAGGAACAACCAATACCAGCCACTCCAAAAACATACCAAATGGTTAAGAGCATCAACACAATGAAAAAACTGCATCAACTAACAGGTAAAACAACCAGCTAGCATCAAAATGGCAGGATCGAATTCACACATAACAATATTAACCCTAAATGTAAATGGGCTAGATGCCCCAATCAAAAGACACAGACCGGCAAATTGGATAAAAAGCCAAAACCCATCAGTGTGCTATATCCAGGAACCCCATCTCATATGCAAGGATACACAAAGGCTCAAAATAAAGGGCTGGAGGAAGATTTACCAAGCAAATGGAGAGCACAAAAAAGTAGGAGTTGCAATTCTCATCTCTGATAAAATAGGACTTTAAACTAACAAAGATCAAAAGAGACAAAGAAGGATATTACATAATGGTAAAAAGATTAATACAAGAAGAGCTAACGATCCTAAATATATACATATTCAATACAGGAGCACCCAGATACATAAGGCAAGTTCTTAATGACTTACAAAGAGACTGAGACTCCCACACAATGACAGTGAGAGACTTTAACACCCCATTGTCAATATTAGACAGATCAATGAGATGGAAAATTAACAAGGATATCCAGGACTTGAACTCAGACCTGGACCAAGTAAACCTAATAGACATTTACAGAACTCTCCACCCCAAATCCACAAAATATACATTCTTCTCAGCATCACATTACACTGACTCTAAAATTGACCACATAATTAAATGAATGAAGTAAATCACTCATCAGCAAATGCAAAAGAACCGAAAACATAACAAACAGTCTCTCAGACCACAGTGCAATCAAGTTAGAACTCAGAGTTCAGAAACTAACTCAGAACCGCACAGCTTCATGGAAACTAAACAACTGGCTCTTGAATGTTGACTGGAAAAACAATGAAATGAAGGCAGAAGTAAAGATGTTGTTCAAAACTAATAAGAACAAAGACACAATATACCAGAATCTCTGGGACACATTTAAAGCAGTCTCTAGGGGAAAATATATAGCAATATATATTTGCTATACATTTAAAGCAGTCTCTAGGACACATTTAAAGCAGTCTCTAGGGGAAAATATATAGCAATATATATTTGCCCACATGAGAAGGAGAGATCTAAAATCAACACCGTATCGTCAAAATTGAAAGAGCTGGAGGAGCAAGATCAAAAAAACTCAAAACCTAGCAGAAGACAAGAAATAACTAAGATCAGAGCAGAACTGAAGGAGATAGAAACACAAAAATCCCTTCAAAAAAATCAGTAAGTCCAGGAGCTGCTGGTTTTTCAAAAAGATCAACAAAATAGATAGACCACTAGCTAGATTAATAAAAAAGAAAAGAAAGAATAATCAAATAGATGGAATAAAAAACGATATAGGGGATATCACCAGAGATTCCACAGAAATACAAACCATCATCAGAGATTATTACAAACAACTCTATGCACATAAACTAGTAAACCTGGAAGAAATGGATAAATTCCTGGACACTTGCATCCTCCCAAGCCTAAACCAGGAAGAAGTCGAAACCCTGAATAGATCAATAACAAGGTCTGAAGTTGAGGCAGCAATTAAGAGCCTACCACACAAAAAAAGCCCAGGTCCAGATGGGTTCACAGTCAAATTCTACCAGACATACAAAGAGGAGCTGGTACCATTCCTTCTGAAACTATTCCAAACAATACAAAAAGGGGAAATCCTTCCCAAATCATTTTATGAGACCAACATCATCCTGATACCAAAACCCGGCAGAGACTCAACGAGAAGAGAAAACTTCAGGCCAATATCCGTGATGAACATAGATGCAAAAATCTTCAATAAAATACTGGCAAACTGGTTGCAACAGCACATCGGAAAGCTTATCCACCATGATAAAGTAGGTTTCATCCCGGGGAGGAGATGCAAGGCTGGTTCAACATATGCAAGTCTATGAACATAGTTCACCACATAAACAGAACCAAAGACAAAAACCACGTGATTATCTCAGCTGATGCAGAGAAGGCCTTTGACAAAATTCAACAGCCCTTTATGCTAAAAATCCTCAATAAACTCGGTATTGATAGAACGTATCTCAAAATAATAAAAGCTATTTATGACAAACCAACAGCCAATATCATACTGAATGGGCAAAAACTGGAAGCATTCCGTTTGAAATCCGGCACTAGACAAGGATGCCCTCTCTCACCACTCCTATTCAATATAGTACTGGAAGTTCTAGCCAGAGCAATCAGGCAAGAAAAAAAATAAAGCGTATTCAAATAGGAAAGGAGGAAGTCCAATTGTCTCTATTTGCAGATGACATGATAGTATATTTAGAAGACCCCATTGTCTCAGCCCAAAATCTCCTGAAACTGATAAGCAACTTCTGCAAAGTCTCAGGATACAAAATCGATGTGCAAAAATCACAAGCATTCCTCTACACCAATAACAAAGTTAAAGAGAGCCAAATCAAGAACAAACTGCCATTCACAATTGCTACAAAGAGAATAAAATACCTAGGAATACAACTAACAAGGAACATAAAGGACCTCTTCAAGGAGAACTACAAACCACTGCTCAGGGAAATAAGAGGGGACACAAACAGATGGAGAAACATTCAACATTCATGGTTAGGAAGAATCAATATTGTGAAAATGACCATACTGCCCAAAGTAATTTACAGATTCAACAACTATCCCCATCAAGCTACCAATGACCTTCTTCACAGAACTGGAAGAAATCACCTTAAACTTCAAATGGAACCAAAATAGAGCCTGCATAGCCAAGTCAATTCTAAGCAAAAAGAACAAAGTGGGAGGCAACACACTACCGAACTTCAAACTATACTACAAGGCTACAGTAATCAAAACAGCATGGTACTGGTACCAAAACAGAGATATAGACCAATGGAACAGAACAGAGGCCTCAGAGGCAACATAACACATCTACAACCATCTGATCTTTGACAAACCTGACAAAAACAAGCAATGGGGAAAGGATTCCCTATTTAATAAATGGTGTTGGGAAAACTGGCTAGCACTGTGCAGAAAGCAGAAACTGGACCCCTTGCTGACACCTTACACTAAAAGTAACGCTAGATGGATTCAAGACTTAAACATAAGACCTAACACCATAAAACCCCTAGAAGGAAATCTAGGCAAAACCATTCAGGACATAGGAGTAGGCAAGGACTTCATGACCAAAACACCAAAAGCATTGGCAACAAAAGCCAAAATAGACAAATGGGACCTAATCAGCCTCCACAGCTTCTGCACGGCAAAATAAACAGGCATTAGAGTGAATCAGCAACCAACAGAATGGGAAAAAATTTTTGCAGTCTACCCATCTGACAAAGGGCTGATATCCAGAATCTACAAAGAACTAAAACAGATTTACAAGAAAAAAACAAACAAGCCCATTCAAAAGTGGGCAAAGGATATGAACAGACACTTTACAAAACAAGACATACATGAGGCCAACAAACATATGAAAAAATGCTCATCATCACTGGTCATCAGAGAGATGCAAATCAAAACCACATTGAGATACCACCTCACGCCAGTTAGAATGGCGATCACTAAAAAATCTGGAGACAACAGATGCTGGAGAGGATGTGGAGAAATAGCCACACTTTTACACTGTTGGTAGGAGTATAAATTAGTTCAACCATTGTGGAAGACAGTGTGGCGATTCCTAAGGACCTAGAAATAGAAATTCCATTTGACCCAGCAATCCCATTACTGGGTATATATCCAAAGGACTATAAATCATTCTACTATAAGGACACATGCACACGAATGTTCATTGCAGCACTGTTTGCAATAGCAAAGACCTGGAACCAACCCAAATGCCCATCGATGATAGACTGAACAGGGAAGATGTGGCACGTATACACATGGAATATTATGCAGCCATGAAAAACAATGAGTTTGTGTCCCTTGTAGGGACAGGGATAAACCTGGAAACCATCATTCTCAGCAAACTGACACAAGAACAGAAAATCAAACACCGCATGTTCTCACTCATAGGTGGGTGTTGAACAATGAGAACACCTGGACACAGGGAGGGGAGCATCACACACTGGGGTCTGTTGGGGGGAAACAGGGGAGGGACATCGGGGTGGGGAGTTGGGGAGAGATAGCATGGGGAGGAAGGCAGCAAATCACACTGCCATGTGTGTACCTATGCAAAAATCTTGCATGTCCTTCACCTGTACCCCAAAACCTAAAATGCGATAAAAAATATATATATTAAAAAAAAAAGAAAGACTGTAAACTTGGAAAGATGTGTGATCAGGCACTACATGCACATTATCCAAATTAAACAAAACCACAGCATAATAAATTATAATAAAATAACACCTCAAGTGTCTATAGCCTCCCCTGTAACCAGAACTCTAAGAATTCTAGGCTCGGGATCTGAAAGCAACAGGGTCTTTCTGAAAATGATCCAGCAGCATGCTGCAAAGCAGAGTGCTTCCCTTGACAATGCCAAAAAACTGATTTTCTATATGTAGCATAATTTCTTGTTCTGTTCACTGCCATTATTCTATTTTCACGTCTACAAACATACAATTTGTGTGGACATCAAAACAACACACTTATTTACTTTTAGACCAAGTAGAGCCAATGAGCGCCACAGAGAACTGTGAAGAGCCCACTCTGAGATTCTGTCCCCATTTTCAATAAAACATGCATCTTCTAAGGTGGGTATCTGTACATCAAAATATGAATACACGGCGGAGACTGGGAAGACACTGACAAATAAGCACCTGGAGTCAGACGACTTGAGGGTGAGTCTCCTTCCTGCCAAGTTATGAGTTGGGAGTCTCCAGCAAGCCAAATAAATAAACTCCCTCAGCCTGAGTCTGTACCGAAGAGAAGGATAATGATTTCTGTCCTACTGACTCACAGGGTTGCTAAGATTCCAGTTAGATGATAAATGTGAAATAACTTTTAAAATCAGATGGCTACAATGAAAAAGATAGACAACACCATGGATTGATGAGGAAATAAAGTAACTGGAAACCTCATATACTGCCAGGGGGCATGAAAATTGCTATGGCAACTCTTGAGAACTATTTTGCAGCACCAAATAAAGCTAAATACGTGCACACTTATAATCCAGCAGTTGCACTGGGTAATGCAAACCCAACAGAAACGTGTATGTATGTGCACCGAAAAGCCACGTTTAAAACATTCATAGTAGCACAATTTACAACGGGCAGCAACGAAAAACACAAATGCCCTCCGACAACAGAATGCGCAAGTACGTTAGAGCAGTTTTTATGATGGAATACTATCAAACAGTGGAAATGAGAAAACTTCTGCTCTGCACAAAAACAGGACGCATCTCACATTTTTACCAAAAGAAGCCAGATGTAAGAAAACAATCTGTACGGTTTCGTTTTAGTTAAAAAGGTCAACAAATAGGCAAAACTAACCTTTGTCGTTAGAAATCAGGAAAGTGGCTGGTAGCAAAGAGGAGGGTCCTTACTGGGATGGAGCTTAATGAAGATTTCTTAGGGTGCCACCAATGTCTTCTTTCTTCATCTGCGCGCTGCCTACATAAGTGAGTTCTCTTTGTGAAAATTTCATTGAGCCAACCACAATTTCTATTCTTCTCTGTATATTATATATCCATATAGTTTACTCAAAAGTCAAGTGCTATAATACGTAACTTGTTTTCTCTTCCCGTCTTTTCCTCTAGATTGGGGGTCAAGTAACTATGGTCTAGCCTTTTTGGTACATGAAGGTTCACTGAAACTACTCAGATCTGCTAGATGTACAGCAGAGGTCATACAACCTAAGAAGTCAAAAACATTTACCATATGACCCTTGACAGAAAGAACGCTTGCCGACTCCTGCACTAAACCGTAAACTGTGACTCCATCTGGAATCACAGCCATCACAACGGCAATCCCTGAAATTTCCACGGCTTTCCACACCTCACCGCACTCCTCCTACCACAGTGAAGTCCCTGAGTGATAAAGGCATTAAAGGGTTAGATCGCTATACATTATTTTCTACAGTAAAAATCTCTACTGTTTACTTAACCATAATCTCCTAGAGCTGGTAAGGCCCTGTCTTAGTCATGGGATGGAAAGACTGGTTGCTCTCCTAAATAATCATTTTATGAAAATTAACACAATAAAGACAGTTGTCTCTTTCTCACTACTGTGCCCAAGATCAATGTACTTCACTCCACATATTTTTAACCCATCCGTTGAATATTCTCTGCCAAGCACTTTTAAGCTGATAAATGTGACGTTGAGTATTTGAGCCTAGTTTGCTGTCCAGTGATGCAAAAGTATGTATTTCCTAAAAATATGCAGTCTCTTCTGACAGGTACCACCGGCAATTTTCAAGGTGACTTTAAGTGATACATAAATAACTAATTCTAATGGCTACGTACTTATTTTAATGTGTCTTGACATAAAGTATCGTTGCCACATAAGAACCGTGTGAAATTTGCGAAAGGACGGAGACACTAGTGAGTCCAGAAGTAAACACACATATATATAGTATCCACTGATTTCTGACAAGAATGGCAGTATCATTCAATGAGGCAAATAGTCTCTTCAATAAATAGTTCTAGCAGAAGCGGATATACACAGGCAAAAAATAAAGGCTGGGCATAGTGGCCTATAATCCCAGCATTTTGGGAGGCCAAGGCAGATGGATCACCTGACATCAGGAATTCGAGACCAGCCTGGCTAACATGGTGAAACCCCATCTCTACTAAAATAAAAAAATTAGCCAGGCATGGTGGCAGGTGCCTGTAATCCCAGCTACTCGGGAGGCTGAAGCAAGAGAATTGCTTCAACCTGGGAGGCAGAGGTTGCAGTGAGCCGAGATCCCACCATTGCACTCCAGTCTGGGCAACAAGAGCAAAACTCTGTCTCAAAAAAAAAAAAAGAATTCAGACCTTCACCTCACACCATTACAAAAATTAAATCAGATCAAAGACTTCAATTTAAGGACTAAAATTATAAAACTCTTAGAAGAAAAACATAAGCTTCATAACTATGAATCTGGCAACAGTATCTTAAATCTGACACCAAAAGCTACAAATAACCAAAGGGAAAAAACCTAAATTACACTTCGTTAAAATTTAAAACTTTTGTGAAGGATGGGCGCTGTGGCTCATGCCTATAATCCCAGCACTTTGGGAGGTTGAGGCAGGTGTATCACTTGAGGCCAGGAGTTCAAGACCAGCCTGACCAACATAGCAAAAACCGATCTCTACTAAAAATACAAAAATTAATAAGGCTGGGCGTGGTGGCTCACGCCTGTAATCCCAATACTTTGTGAGGTCGAAGAGGGCAGATCACCTGAGGTCAGGAGTTTGAGACCAGCCTAACCAACATGGAGAAACCTCAACTCTACTAAAAACACAAAACTAGCCGGGCATGGTGGTGCATGCCTGTAATCAGCTACTTAAGAGGCTGAGGCAGGAGAATCGCTTGAACCCGGGAGGCAAAGATTGCAGTGAACCGAGATCGCCCCATTGCACTCCAGCCTGGGCAACAAGAGTAAAACTCTGTCTCAAAAAAAAAAAAAAAATTAGCCAGAGGTGGTAGAATTTGCTTGTAATCCCAGTTACTCCAGAGGCTGAGGCACGAGAATCACTTGAACCTAGGAGACAGAGGTTGCAGTGAGCCAAGATGGCACCACTCTAGCCTGGGCGTCAGAGCGAGACCGTGTCTCAAAATAAATAAATAAACACACAAATAAAAAACTTTTGTGCATCAAAGGGTACTATCAAGAGGTGAAAAGGGCCAGGAATAGTGGTTTACACCTGCAGTCCCAGCTACTTGGGAGACTAAGGCAGGAGGATAATTTGAGGCCAAGAGTTTAAGGGCAATATAGCAAGATCCTGTCTTTAAAAAATAAAAGATAAAAATGTAGCCAGGCATGGTGGTGGGCACCTGTAGTCCCAGCTACTTGGGAGAGTGAAGCAGGAGAATCATTTGCACCCAGGGGTTTGGGGCTGCAGGGAACTATGCTCGCACCACTGCACTCCAGCCTGGGCAACTCAAAGAGTGAGACCATGTCTCAAAGAAAAAAAGTATAAAGAATGTATAAATAGCAGGCTAATGGATGGTGAGGTATAAAGGCATTTAAAAATACTTATTGAGCCAAAAGAATGCAAAAAAGAAAAGGGAACATAAAATGATGAATCAGGCAGAAAACTATGTCTCAAAACAGGCTTAAATGTACTTAAAATCAGCATATCAATTAAAGACAAAGATTATCAGGCCATACTTAGAAAAGATACCTATAGGCTGCTTACAAGAGATACAACTTACGTATAAGGACAGAGGGGTACATTTGTAAAAGAATGCAGAAAGAAATTCTATTAGAACACCAACAAAAGTAGTCGTGGTGCAGGTGTACCAATATTAAACAAACGAGGCTTCACAGCAAACATCATACTAGATACAAAGCATGATTTATTTCATAAAGATAAAAACGGTTAATATACCAGGAAAGTATAAGATCTTTAAATCTGTATGGTTAAAAATGTAGCTTCAAAATAAAAAGATTGACAGAATATAAGAATAGAGAAATTCACACTCATAGGAGAATTTAATATTTAATACACTTTTCTAAGTGACAGAAAAAAATTGATATATGTTATTTTCAAGTGCACGCCGAACATTTACCAAATATAACCAGAGAACATGAAAAGACTCAAGAAGGTTTCAAATGATGAAATAATTCAGGGTAAGTTCTCTGACAACAACCCAAGTAAACTAGAAATCAATGACAATGAAGGTAGTTTTAAAATTAGGCCACATCTTTTTCAATAACTTATGAGAAATCACAGTAGAAATTAGAAAATACTCTTGAACTTAATGAAGATAAGAATAAACCATATCAAAATTTGGCGGACACAGTTAAAACTACAGAAATGCCAACAGCTTTAATACCTACAACTGTAAATGTGTATATCAGAAAATAAGAAAGGCTGAAAATTAGTTAAGTATCCACATCAAGAAGCTGGGGGAAAAAAAAATAGACAATAAAATATAGGTACAGAACCAGAAGCAGCATGTAGTTCCCTTCCCTTTGGTGGCCATCACTGAAGTGAGTGCAACCAAAATGAAGTCCAATCCCTTTTTGACTTCCAACCAAAGCAAAACCACAAAAGGTATTTCAATGCACCTTATGTCTTTCCCTCTTTCCAAAGAGCTGAGAAGTACAATGTTTGATCCATGCCCATCCAAAAGGATGATGAAATTCAGGCTGTATGAGGACATTATAAAGGTCAGCAAACTGGCGAAGTAGTCCAGGTTTACAGGAAGAAATATGTCCTCTACACTGGTAGGTGCAGCAGGAGAAGGCAAATGGCACAACTGTCCGTGTAGGCATTCACCCCTGCAAGGTGGGTATCACTAGGCCAAAACTGGACGAAGACCACAAAAAGATCTTTGAACGGAAAGCCAAATCTCGCCAAGTAGAAAAGTAAAAGGGCAAATACAAGGAAGAAACAATTGAGAAGGTTTACGAATAAAGTGATCTTACATACAAGCTTTCATTAAAACTTGAAATGAAAAAAAAAACCTAAGGAAAGTAGGAAGAGGAAAACGATAAAGAGAAGAGACTAATGAAATACAAAACAAACATCTATTAATTGAATTGAAAGTCTAAACTTGGCTCTTTGAGATTATTATAATTGATAAACCCTGTCATGACTAAGAAAAAACTAGGAAAAAGCTCAATCTCCACCATCAGAGAAAAGAAGACAGCCATCACTACAAAGCCTATAGTCATAAAAAGATAATAAGAGATACTTATGAATAATGTTATGTTAATAAATCTTAAAATATTAGATGATTCTTACAAACAAAACTTACCAAAAGTGACACAAATTTTAAACTTGAGTTGTCTTATATATTAAGGAAATTGATTCTGCAATTTAAAATTTTCCCCAAAAGGCCCAGGCATGGTGGCTCCTGCCTGTAATTCCAGTACTTTGGGAGGCCTAGGTGAGAGGATTGCCTGAGCCTAGGAGTTCAAGACAAGCTTGGGCAACATGGCGAGACCTCGTGTCTATTTTTAAAATTATTTTAAAAATTAAAAATAACATAAAATAAAATTTCCCCAAAGAAATCTCAAAGCCCAAATGACTCTAACAGGAAATTCTACCAAAGATTTTAAAACAGCATAATGGCAACCTTGCTATAAACTGTTACCGAGAAAAGAAAATAAAGGAAGGCTTCCCAAGCTATCTTATGAGGCTAGCAAGATACTGATATCAAAGCTTGAGAATGGAGTCTAAACACATAAAAGCGCAGTCCAGTGTGGCTCATAAACATGGGTCTGAAACCCCAAGTATGTGCAGATCAAATCCACATATACAGACAAGGGTAACAGCACAGCAACTTTGCTTGTATCCCAGGAGTGTAAGTTTGGCTTACCATTAGAAAAATCAATGTGTTTCACCCCATCGACAAAATATAAATGAAAAATCACATGATCACCACAATACATACAAAATAAACATGATAAAATTCAAGACCCATTCATGATAAAAACACTTAGCAAAACAGAAACAAAACTTATATGATCTGATAAATAATATCTACCTGCACCCCCGCCCCCAAAAAAACAACAATAAACCCCTAGTTGATAATATAATTTTCCTCCTGCAGTTAGGAACAAGTCAAGAATGTCCATCATTCACTACATTTATTCACGATTATAGAAGAGATCCTAGCCAGTACAATGAGCCAGAAAAAAAAGTAACAGAAATGATCAAGATTAGAAATGAAGAAATAAACCTGTTGATATTTACAAATATGATTATAGAGAAAATTCCAAAAGAATCTACAGACAAACTATCACAAATAATAAATATGTAAAAGGCTTTGGCTAGAATATCAATTTTTAAACACCAATTTTATTTCTATAAACAAACAACATATAGAGAATAAAATTTTAAAAACACTATCAACAATAGTTTCAGGAAACATCAAATATCTAGGAGTAAATTTAACAATATTTGTATAAGTCCTCTAACTTGAAGTCCCAAAACATTACTGAGAGGTGATAATGAGAAAGAAATGACAGGAGAGATCATATTCAGATTCAAAGACTCAAGGTTGCAAAGATTAGTTCCACCCATATTATCGATAGTCAATGTAATTTGATCAAGATTCCAGCAAGTTTTTTTATGAAAACATATATGTTGATTCAAAAATCTACATGAAATTGAAAAATACCAACAATTGTCAAGATGATCACAAAAATTAAAAACTAAGTACACGACTTACATTTCCTATACCAGATACCAAGACTCAGAATAGCTAATTAAGACAGCATGAAATGGACTAGCCAGGAAACACAACAACAACAAAAAATGGAAAAGAAGCAGGTACAGAACAATTCTTCACCTGATTTGCAACTGTATACAAAAATAGACACATATGGGAATCCCAACAAATAGTGCAGATATTCATTGGTCAGGAGAAATCCTGACCTTTCTTTTCAAATCCCTTTCAGATGGAAGTGTTAAAATAAAGGTGAGACATACGGCTGGGTGCAGCAGCTCACGCCTGTAATTCCAGCTCTTTGGGAGGCCAAGGCTGGTGGGCCACTTGAAGCCAGGAGTTGGAAGCCAGCCTTGCCAACATGGTGAAACCCCATCTCTACTGAAAATACAAAAAATTAGCCATGTGTGCTGGTGCACACCTGTAATCTGAGCTACTCGGGAGGCTCAGGCACAAGAATCACTTTAACCCAGAAAGCAGAGGTTTTGCAGTGAGCCAAAATCACACAACTGCACTAGAGCCTGGGTGACAGAGCAAGACCCTGCCTCAAATAAATAAAATAAAGGTGAGAAGTAAAACAATAAAGCCTCTAGATGAAAACATAGGAAAATATTACAGTTGTCAAATATTATTTAGATAATATATAGATCCCAAAAGTATTAAAGGAAAGGAGTGACAAATCAGTATTAAGAACTTGTTTAATCAGAAGGTATTTTTAAAAGAATGAATAGGAGACTATAAAAAACGCATCCAGAGTATATAAAGAACTCCTATAAATCATAATAAAACAGCATACAACTCTTCACCAAAGAAGATACACAGATGGCAATTAAGCCTATGAAAAGATGCTCAACGTCGTATGTTGAAAAGTAAACATATAATGAAAATTGCAGTGCCGGGTGCAGTGGCTCACGCCTGTAACCCCAGCACTTTGGGACGCCGAGGCGGGTGGATCACGAGGTCAAGAGATCGAGACCATCCTGGTCAACATGGTGAAACCCCGTCTCTACTAAAAATACAAAAAATTAGCTGGGCACGATGGGGCATGTCTGTAATCCCAGCTACTCAGGAGGCTGAGGCAGGAGAATTGCGTGAACCCAGGAGACAGAGGTTGCGGTGAGCCAAGATCGCGCCATTGCACTCCAGCCTGGGTAACAAGAGTAAAACTCCGTCTCAAAAAAAAAAGAAAATTGCAAATTAAAATGAGATATCCAGTACACTCCTAAAAGAATGGCTAAAATTCAAAAAGCTAATTAATCCCAAATGCTGGTTAGGATGTACAATAGAAACATTGCTGGTGAAAATACAAAATGGTACAACCACTTTGGAAAACAGTTTGGCAGCCTGTTAGAAAAAACTAAACATAGTTTTACCTTAGAATCCAACAGTCATAGTCCATGGGATTTACCCCGATGACTTGAGAACTTACGTCCAACACAAACCTGCACACAAATATTTAAAGCAACTTTACTCATATTGCTAAAAACTGGAAGCAACCAATATGTCCTTCAAAATGTAAAAGGATAAATGTGACACATCCATACAGTGGAATATTATTCAGCAACAAAATCAAACACCTATTCAGCCTTGAAAAGACATGGAGGAATAAAAATGAATGTTGCTTACTCAAAGCCAACCTGAAAAGGTTGCATACCGAATGCTTCCAACTATGTGACATTCTGGGGCAGGCAAAACGATACGGACAGTAAAAATATCAGTGGTTGCCCTTGGTCAGGGAAGGGAAGGCTGAATAGAGGGAACGAAGGGCAGTGAAACTATTCTGTATGACACTGTAAGGTAGATATGGGACACTGTGCATTTGTCCAACCCATGGAATGCCCAAAACAGAGAATATATCCTCATGCAAACTATCGGCTTTAGTTAATAAAAATGTATCAACACTGGCTAAACTGACTACATTAATGCAATATGTTAGTAATATGAGAAACTGTGAGGAGAGACAAGGTATCTCTATAGTATCACTCCATATTATCTGCTCAATTTTGGGTAAGCCTGACACTGTTCTAGAAAAGAAAGTATTAATTTTTTTTTTAGACTTTGTTTTTTTAGACCAGTCAAGTGCAGTAGTGAGAAGGGGGGAAGAAAGTATCAATTTTAAAATATATATGCCCAGTAGAAAAACAGGCCAAGGTCTTAAACAGGAGCTTAGCAAAAAAGAACAAATGGCTGACAAACACAAAAACGACATTAGCATAAAACTCAAAATCAAAATCAAATGAGATTTGGTATGTGTAGACATACCAAAACAGCTAAACAATAAAAGCACTTTTTTTTTTTTTTTTTTGCTCACCAGCTATCATTAGTGTTAGTGTATTTTATGTGTGGCCCAAGACAATTCTTCTTCCAATATGGCCCAGGGAAGCCAAAAGATTGGATCCCCTGGGAGAGGTGATGCTAAGTGTTGCTGAGCTGGGAACAAAAGCACTCTTATCCCCCCCTGGTAGGAGAGGAAGCCAGGACTGTCACTGGCTGGCTGTACCCACTGTGGCCCAGAAATACAGAAAAGTTTGTAGCTACACTTATTCAAAATAGCCAAAAAACTGGAAATAACCCAAATATCAAGAGTAGAAGAGTGAGTAATTCCGGTGGCTCATATAACGGAATACTACATCCCTTTCAAAATAAACACAGTTCTGCTGTATAGCAACAGGAATGATCTCATAAAAATATTGAATGAATCAAGCCAGAAAAAAGATGGTTTCATACTATAAATTCAATTTAGTTCAAAAACAGGTAAAGCTAACATGGTATCAGAAGCCAGCCAGAACAGTAGGAGGAGGGCCAGTGACTGGAATGGGCACAAACATGCTCGGGGTGCTGGCTCACAGAAAATCTCATGAAGCTCCTCACCTAAAACATGTGCACTTTCCTAGGCAGATGTTTTTTACCCACTAAAATAGTCACTTAAATGTACCAACGAAGAGGCTTCAAATAAATGGACACATTTCTGGCTTCTCTTAGAAACCATAAGCTGGCTGGGCCCAGTGGCTCATACCCGGAATCCCAGTATTTCCAGAGGCTGAGGCAGGGGATCACTTGAGTCCAGGAGTTTGAGACCAGCTTAAGCAACATGGCGAAACCCCATCTCTACAGAAAACACAAAACTTAGCCAGGTATGGTGGCATGAGGCTGTAGTCCCAGCCACTCGGGAGACTGAGGTGGGAGAATGGTTTGAGCCAGGGAGGAGGAGAGTACAGTGAGCTGAGATCACGCCACTGCACTCCAGCCTGAGTGACAGAGCAAGACCCTGTCTCAATTAAAAATGAAAAAGGGTTAGGCGTGGTGGCTCACACCCATACCGAGGCAGGCAAATCACAACATTATGAGATCGAGACCATCCTGGCTAACACGGTGAAACCCTGTCTCTACTAAAAATACAAAAAATTAGCCAGGCATGGTGTCACGTGCCTGTAGTCCCAGCTACTCAGGAGGCTGAGGCAGGAGAATCACTTGAACCCGGGAGGTGGAGGTTGCAGTGAGCCAAGATCACACCACTGCACTCCAGCCTAGGCAAAACAGCAAGACTCCATCTCAAAAAAAAAAAACCTAAAAAGAAGAAATCATAAGCTACGGCAATAACCAAATGG